TTCCAAGGCTGTAAATCTTTATGGGAGCAGAAAGCCTCATCTTTCTCCCAGTCTTTTTCAGAAATTAGTCCCTTGTCTGATAAGTCATTGCAAAAGATTTTTTCTGTGTGCTCCCTTTTTACTCTTTTGATGAAATCTTTTGATGCATTTAATAAGTTTCTAATTTTTAGAATGTCCCAATCATCTACTTTGTCATGTTTTGTAGTTTGTGTGTGTCCTGTATCAGAGCCCTTAAATTTGTCCTTATTTTTTCATTGATGACCTTTATAATTCTGATATTCACATTTAGGTCTTTAATCCATGCTGAGTTGGTTTTTGGATATGGCGTGAGGTAAAGGTCTTGTTTCAATCTTTGCATATCGATTTCCAGTTCTGCCAGCACCATCTGTTGAAGAGACTATCTCCTCCCCATACAATGTACTTTGGCCCTTTGTCAAAGAACAGTTGGCTGTATGATGTATGTGGTACCAGTACCAGGCTGTTTTGACCACTGTAGCTATGTAGTAAAATTTGAAAACAGGGAGTGAGAGGCTTCCAACTTTGTTCTTCTTAAGCAGTGCTTTGCTTATCCTGGGTCTCTTTCCTTTCCATATAAAATTTGTAATTGTTCCATCTCTTTGAAGAATGTCATTGGAATCTGGATTGGGATTGCAGTATATGTGCTTTGAAGAATGTCATTGGAATCTGGATTGGGATTGCAGTATATGTGCTTTGGATAATGTTGACATTTTCACAATGTTAAGTCTTCCTATCCAGGAGCATAATATATTCTTCCATTTTTGTCTCTTGTAGTTGTGTTTTGTCGTGTTCTTTGTATACATCCTTTGTTTCTCTTGCTACATTTATTCGTAAATATTCCATCCTTTGGGTGGCTATTGTAAATAGTATTGCTTTCCTAATGTCCTTTTCAGTGCTGTCATTATTAGTATAGAGGAATCCAACTGCTGAATCTTCCAATGAGTTCCAGTAGTTTTTTTTGCTGAGTCTTTGGGGTTTTCTAGGTATATGATCATATCATCTGCAAATAGAGAGAGTTTTACTTCTCTTTGCTGATTTGGATGCCTTTAATTTCCCTATCTTGCCAGATCACTCTGGTTAAGACTTCCAAA